AAATAACAGCAATGAAAATGTAGTCTAGAGTCTAGAAACCACAAAAAATGTCAAAAGCTAATTGTAAGTGTTTTTAACAACATATGTGTCAAAGTAACACGATGCAAGAGTTGCTCTCATGTCCACTCATGAGCTGTCCACATTAGCTCCACAGGTTATTCATGCAGAGACCCTCCAGATGATGAACCAGGTCGGCATCGTACAGTGTGTTTCTTTAATCTTACCTGTATCGTCCGTGTGAGGGGACAGGCCTCATGTCAGAGGCCCTGCTGTTTGGAAAGGCCAGGGACTCCTCCTCCTCTGCATTTTTACTCCTCTCCCTATGATCTTGTGTTTTGTTAGTGCTGAGGACATCAGCACGTGCCCTCACATGACAGCAAGCCAGACTCCTCGGCTGAACGTGAGGTGGTGACCAAGTTGATTTAGTCACTGCTGGAATGATGTCTGCGAAGCGGCCAGTCAGAACAGGACAGGTACATGTGGCAAGAGATTAAACAGGATGTTACATCCACTTACTGATCAAAGATACACACATCGTCTCTGTATATATTATAGCTGCACTTTTTTAGCATAACATTTTCTTTGTGACACAAAATGTAATTGATTTAAGAAAAAACTTTGGGTTTTCACCAGGACTAGGTTTGGGCACGGCGTGGACAGTCTCACTACAGCAGATAGCAGACAGGTGTAGCGTGACTGTGTGGAAGCTACGAAGCTCAAGTTTAGTAACAGCCGTGTTGTCACTGCTCTGGTGAACATGACCTAAGACATCGAGCATCTGACACACCTGGAAGCTCCCTTGCTGCCGTGCAATGAAAGACAAAACTACATCCTGGGGAAATCAACGGAAAGAAACAAGTGTCACATTTATTGCTCTGTTTGCGTTTAGAAATGCATAATCGGATGAATCACTATCCTACCTGGCATTGCCCAGGGCCTATGGTGCCCCTGAAAGGTTCAGTGGTGAAATGTGCTAACTTGCGGAAGTGGAAATTGACGGGAAGTTGAGGGCAGAGGTTCTGCAGCACACAGAGCAGCTCAACACGTTGGCCTGTCACACAGGGTGGGAAATCAAACCTTTGAGGAGGACTGGGTACCAGAGAGACGGGCAGCCCAGAGCCTGTCACTGCCAGTTCCACACTACTGTTGCCTAGTAACAAAAATATAGATAACATAAAGAAAGAGAAAGATATCATGATATCAATGTGACAACTTAGACAGTACATGAAATAATCAAATCAAAATATTCGTAAATTTAACCGAAACCAATTGTTGTGTTACATTATTTTGTGTGTGTGTTAATGTATGTGTGTGTTTGTGTACCGCTGTGGTGAGTGAAGCCATGTCTCCTCCCCACTGAGTCAAATAACAGGAAAAGACAATAGTCTCTCCGGCTGGCTGAGTGAACACGTTCCGTTGTTGACGCCCTGAAAGACAAAGAATGTTGAAACCGCATGATTCCCTTCTCCGCCTCACCACCTCCTCGTTAGTATAGTGGTCAGTATCCCCGCCTGTCACGCGGGAGACCGGGGTTCAATTCCCCGACGGGGAGATTTGTTTTTGTTTTTTAACCACGTGTAACACATTACATACTTAAAACAAGTTAGATCACGTTACCTGTTACGTAACGGGCTGAAGCACACTGCCACAGCTGTTGTGTCATATGCTCCCAGTCGACCATGCTGTGGTGCACACACCAACAGATCCTGAGCCGCTAGGCAGCACTGCTCCTCCCTCTCAAAGAGGGCGGCGTCTGTGCTCTTGCGTAGGTTGGTTCCCTACAAAGACTTCACTGTCAATGACTCGTTTTATTCCAGGGTGTCTACAAACTATTTCCTGTCAAATGTTGTGCTTTTTACGACCTTAATAACTGTGCAATAATCCGTTCTGTCTGTGCAACTCAATATGTAAACTGAAATCCTGTTGCACTGTATTTAATCTATTTACATGTATTATTTCTATTGTAGATCTGTTCTATTACCATGTCTTTTTATTGCATGTTTACCCCATTGTGGGACTAATAGAGGATCATCTTTACATCACAGTATTAATAAAGATCATTTTCCTGTTGTGAATGCATAATCACGTATTAGTTGAGCAATGGCTTCACACTGTGGCAGCACTGACTTCAACACTCACCAGTTCAGTCCCGGCAGCACTATCCTGAAGCAGGCAGACCCAGTCACAGGCCTGGGGGCCATTGTTTCTCAGAACCACATTCTTCACACAGGATGTCCCAAAATATACCGGCCCAAAGCGCAGACAGGCGAGTGAATCCCCCTGGTAAACAGCAAAGCATCGTACTTTTAGAAAACGTTTTCATAAACTCTACCACAAGGGGGCAGGGCATAAAGGTACACATTCAAATCAAAGATCAATGGAGTATCACACATTTCCACTGGATTACCTTCAGGTCAGAGACCTCGAGCCGTTGATCCACCACTTCAGCCCTGATAGTAAGAGATACAGCAGAGCGATCCTGGAGTTTTATCCTGGGACACAGAGGGTGCACAACTGTTGCTCAGGATCACCACTGAAATGGTATATGCTCTATATACTCTATTTTGTACAAACACACATGTGTGTGTATATATATATATATATATATATATATACAGCAAATATTATGAAGTAATCTTCTTTGTTTATTCAAAAAATCTTCAATGGTGACATGGTGTTTTTGTGTCTTTTCAGTTTATGTACTTTAAAGTTTACAGTGTTTTGTTGAACTAGTGTCACTTACAGAGCCTTCTCATCAATTTGCATTGGTCTGTCTGTGCGTAGTTCAACTTTTAGCCACTGGGTGGCGCCCGCTGCAATGACTCCACTGAGAGGTGACAGTCTGATTGAAGGGTGTGCACTGTACTGCACTTGGAACACACCTATGAGACACACACACACACACACACACACACACACACACACACACACACACACACAGAGTGTAAAACGAATCTCACTGCATTAGTGCATATTTAAGTTTCAGCTGATGAGAAAAGTTTCCCCATGGACGATGCTGCTCTTTTACCTGGAGCTGATCCTTGATTGGTTACAGGATGGTGTTTGCTGATTATCTGACTCCTGGCAGCAACACAACCAAAGTCTAATACCGAGTCCGTCAGGAGGGAGCAGGTCCTGGGAAACCTAGAGGTGTGGACACAGTGGAACTGAGTTGGTGTGAAAATAGACAAACAAAATCTGATTCACTGTCTCGTGGACGACATGTTTGGTCCTAGATAATAACAAGAAGTCGTGTCTGGACAGTTTACCCAAGCAATGGGACCTCAATGGTCTCCACATCGTCGATATGGATCAGAAGGCAGTCTCTGACCACCTCCTCTTTCTCTGGAGAGAACTGCAGCAGGACACTGACAGACAGACCAGGAGCCACAGACACGGCTGCTGCCGCCGCTGCTGCTGTGACCTGGAACAACTTGAGGAAAAGGGGGATTTAAAAAAGGAGCCAGATCAGATGAACATGCACAGGCCACATGTAAGAATAGTCAGTGAACACTGAGTGAATTAAAGGGGAAACTTTACAGGATATTAAACTAGTTTGAAACATCAGACACCTTTAAAATGAAATAAGCTGTTCAAATAACTATTACACACATTGATATTTGCACATCCTGTGTTTTCCTTAACAAAAATAAATGGATGGATGATTGATAGATAGATAGATAGATAGATAGATAGATAGATATAGCTATGGATATATATAGATAGATACAGATAAAGAGATAAATAGATAGATACTAAACGACGAAGGTTGCTAGCTTACCGTGAACCACGCTTTTGGCTAACTAGCAATTAAGCTAATTTCAGATGTATCTAACGTTGCGTCGTTTTACAAAAAATGAATTCGTTAATTTAGTAAAGTTGTTAAAAGCCCGTCAGGTGCAGACACTTACCCTCGTGGCGGGCTTCTCAATTCGGATCTTTTTCCGACTCTTGCCGATGTTCGTGGCCGTTAGCGTGGTCCTGTAAACCCGCCCGACGCTCACGTCCCTGAAGTCGACAAATGGCGGCTCAACTCGAAAACTGCCTGCGGCCATGATACGAGTCGACACCTACGATCCACCTGGACACGTGAAATGTCAGTAAACTAATGTTTCCTGCCGGTGAAGTGAACATGGAGTCGTTTTCCTCCACATACCGATGCTCAGCTTTCTTGTTGCTGCACAGGTGGTTTCCAGGCAACGGCTGCTCTGCTTGTTTTACAACCCTGCGCAGTCCAGGTGGACGGAGCACGTGACACCGCTGCACACTACATCATGGTTTCTACTTTATTTAAGAAGGATCTGATGTTGTTACCAGCATCCAGACAACACAGTTCATCACTATTAATAATTATTATTCATGGTGCAAGTGTTTTGTCTGCAAACAAGCCATTTTTCAGCTTATCCCCTCTTCTTCTTCAGGGCTTCAGCTGTGGAAAACCATCATCCCCTACATGGATAATCAATAATACATGGTAATAATTCATTTTCTTATAATAAAGAAAATACATGTAAATAGAGTTATAAGGATTTATTCCAATGTATATAAAATGATACATTTCAGGATTAAAGCTCAAAAACAAAATCAGAGTGATTTATTAAACAAGAAAAAGGTTAAGTACACAGTATGTTGCAAAATATAAGTCATACCAACATCTTGTATATGAACATAAACTTTGAATTACACAAATTATTCATTTTTTAAACAAAAATCTACAGTAATTTGAAAGTATTTCACAAAGCAGCAGCAGGGCTCTCCCATATTTCATCATCATACACATTCGCAGCAGATGTGATTTTATCTGTGGTTTTCAAACGGAGGCTGTGGCCGTTGCTGATGTCATTAAGGATTAAACCTCCTCCGACCTGCTCACCATTTGCGGCCGAGTCCACACGAGGATCATCTGATTGTTCTGAGAAAACCCGGTCAGTGAGTAAACCCTGGTCCTGACCATTCTGCGTCAAATACGGATCGCCAGATTTATTTGTTTCTAAACCCTCCTGATGGCCAAGGTCAGAGATTCTCTCCCCACCGGTCAGAGAGGGAGACTGGGACACGGCCCAGACTTCATCTGATGCCTTGTAGTGCCTCCCTTCACGCTCTCCAGCTGCTGTGGCTTGGGTCCCTTCCCCGAGCTGAGTTCTGCTCTCAAGGCCGAAGAAGTGGTTGCGGACAACGTAGCGCACACACTGCAGGAGGACATTCCTCTCATGGCGGATATCTGGGGCGAGTAACTAAACAGAGTGTGATAAACAGAGAAGCTTATGGAGGCTCAGAGGAGCCATATTCAAGAATACATTTTATTTTGTCAATGTTAAATCGGGGGAAATATACTTGTATGATCTCAGATTGCATCCTTACCATCTCAAGCAGAGTAGAACGATGCTTCTGCAGCGCATCATGGTGTCTACCACCCCTTCCTCCTCTACCACCCCTTCCCCTTCCTCCTCTGCCCCCTCTTCCTCCCCTTCCTCTCTGGAGCCGTCTCTAGAACACCTCCTGTGCCACCATCACCTTTTTCTTCTTTTCAATATTATGGAGGGTTGGATAGTTTCTGGAAATATTAATGTAGATGATGTTCAAATGTATTTATATCACAAGTATCCTGGATACTCATATATGAAGTCAATCATTCTTACTTGCGTCTCTCCTCTCTCCATTTTGTAATCTCCTCTGCTGTGTCCAGCTTAATTCTCTTTGTTCCTGGTGCATGGCTCTGTAGTCACAATATGAAACATGGATATTAGCAATAGACAACAGTTTTAGATTGAGATGCAGCACAATGTTGTTTCACTTACATTTTTCCAGTGGATGCTGACAATTTTCTCATGAGCTGTAAAGCTGCAGTCCGGCACCGAACACTAAATGGGCCATAAGAAAATATCCGCAGGGGATACCTCAGCTGCATTTACAAGACATTTCTAGGACCCTGGGTTTTTGTGAGACAGAGTTGGCATCGCGCCCTGCATCCTCACCGCCAGGCGGAACAGGGGGGGCCATTCTGGGGACTCATCTTCCATCATGTCGACCCAGCTCTTAGTCGCTGGCGGCTGATGGCTGCTGTCTGTGGGGTGGCTCCTGTCAGACATGGGTCCTGGTTGTTAGCCACCGCCACTCTCAGCCTTCCTTCCGGGGGTCGGCCAGCGATGCTTGGGCGTGTTTAGCGCTCATGCAAGCAATGCACATGGGATGAGGGTCCCGGCCCGAGATGGACGCTCCGCATGACGCGGGGCGCGGGCGGGATGCAGCCTCTTTCCTCTTCGGGTCCGACCCTTTGGCGGGGGTCGCGGCCGAAGACATGGTGCCTAGAAAGGGAGATGTTGGTTTGAATACAGCCGTGACGCGTTAGCCCGTCGGTCATTAGTGTTAGCACCTGGGGCTTAGCCCAAGCTAAACCGTGAAACAACAGCAGTGCTAGCAAACAACTGGCGAAGTTAAAAGAACTAATTCAAACACACACTCACTGAGATGGTGTGGATAAACAACATGAGGTTTCTCTCTCTCTGTTGACCGTGTCTCATTTTCGATGCCAGAGGATGAAGAGCTGAAACTCCTCCATGTTTTCTCTTTTCTTCTTCTCCTCTCTGTCTCTGTAGAGTTCAGTCGGTGCAGCTTCCTGTTTATCTCACCTGTGTTTCCTGTTGTTTCTTCTTCTCGCGTCACTCAATGGGAAGTTGCGAGGAGGAGAGAGTTGAAGCGGTGACAGCGCTAACAGGGTCAGTGGCCGGGGGGCGCATTGCATCCACCATAGAGAATGACCGGAAACGATTCAGAGCCAATGAGAGAAGATGTGAACAGAAAGAAACCAGCGTCACATCCATTGCTCTGCTTTCATCTAGAAATGAATAATCGGATGAATCACTATCATTGCCCAGGGCCTATGGTGCCCCTGAGAGGTTCAGCGGGGAAATGTGTTGCTTGCAGAAGTGGAAATGTTTGTATAGTTTGGTTTCATGAAGCTTTAGATTCAGTTTATATTTAAAATGTGAGAAAAACGTCGGTCCTGCGTTTCTCCATTTTCACCACGAGATGGCGCTTTGGAGTCTTTTTGATGTAAAACAGCACAATGCATCGTATTTATAGTTTTATCTTATTTTATCTAATCTCGCATTTCTTATCCACTTATCTGTGGATCCACTTTATGAGTAAGCGTCCCTAGTATTTTATCCTTGTTGTGTAGTTTTGTTTCATGAAGCTTTAGATTCATTTACATTTAAAATCTGAGAAATAAGTCAGTCCTGCGTTTCTTCCTTTTCACCACGAGATGGTGCTTTAGAGTCTTTTTCTGATGCTGCACAAACAAAACATCATAATGCATCAAATTTCTATAAATATCAAGGTCAAGCAAGGTTAATGCAGAGACAGAAGATACATTAATATATTCAGCTGCAAGTTACGAGGATCACCAGACTGTCACTTCATCTTTCAGGACAATATAGATACAACTGCACGACTTACAGTGGAAATGGGTGTAGGAGAAAAAGAGGAATCCTGCACACTGTTCTGTACTGTAAAAAATGTTTTATTAGGTTTGCAACGTTTCGGTCCTGTGAGCCTTCATCGGGGAAACCTAACCTTCCTCTTCTCTCAGGAAAGTCAAGATAAAATGCTCCCAAATCATGCATCGTGTCTATCGCAAAGATAAAGAGGCATGAAAGACATTTATCTGAAGAAACAAGGTGAGACTGTGCAGCTGCAAAGCATTTCACCCTCCACTGAAACTCCGAGGAAATGTGCAGTGAATAAGTAGCGTGTCATATGAGGAGCAGGTTGAAGACGCAGCAGCTGAGTTGAGCTGTGCAGGGAGTCATGACTTTCTACTTTCACTCAAACATCTGTAGTGGGAGGTGCTCATAACACCCACATACACTGATCCCTGCCTGTAACAGTCAGACTAGTGTCTGACAGCGCTGCAGGTTCAGGAGGACACTGGCAACCATGAAGGTAAATATGCTGGGATATAGATTTGAGAGTATTGTTTAAGTCTGAATTTGAAGTCACATGACAACATGGCTTTAAATGGAACAACTGGAAATGACAGATGTGAAACTATTAAGACAAGATAAGAAAAGATAAGAAAAGATGAGAAAAGATAAGAAAAGATGAGAAAAGATAAGAAAAGATAAGAAAAGATAAGAAAAGGTTTGTGAAGCCCACGCTGGGGAAATTCAATGGCTACAGCAGCAGAGAGTGAAAATTATGTTGAGAAAGAATAAAAGAGGCAAAATCATAAAACAATCAAATGTTGTGATCGTCATGATAAACCTGCAGTTTCCTCCAGAATATCTTAATATTCTACAAAGATAGACTTTGCCACATGTCCTGTCTAAACTGGATTCATCCACATGTAATCCTGGACAGAGGACGATTCGCTGCCAACATGGTGGGAAATTGTTGTTGAATAGAAGACAGTAGCTTTTCTGCATTGTCTCCTAAAGTTGACTGAAGAGATAAAAAGTCACGGGAGCTCAGAGGGAGAGGAATGTTCAGTGTCACATCTTTAGAGTCTGAGAAACAACAGTAGTGACACAGACTGATGTGTGACAGCTCTGAGATCAGCTGCTGCTTCACTACATCAGGCAGATTCACTCAGAGCTCTGAGGATGTTAACAGAAGCTTCACTGATCCGTTTCCAACACCAGCGATTTCCTCGCACTTCTCCCAAACAATAGCGTCCAGACTCAAAACCCTGCTCGGCCCCGAGCCAAGAATTCCATTAGAACATGTGCACTTTCACCACGTCTGTCAGAATCAATCCCTGAGAATAAACACTGCAAACATGCAGAACAAAAACTGGATCATTCACTGAAGCTGACAAATGACAAATGTTGGTGTTGAACCTCAGTTCAGCTGAGTTTGTGCAACGTTTACCAAAGTGCTGGTCTTTGTTAGGGGAGTTCCAACATGTGTTGCAACAGAAACATCTGGAATGTGCACATGACTTTTCAGCTCAATGGACTGCAACTTAAAACACGTATGTACAAAACACAAGCACGGTGATAAACAACAGCCAAAGATGATCAGGCAACGTACTTATAATCAAAATACACTTTCTATTCTTTTCTTAACAATGTCTCAATGAGAACAACACAGTGGAACACAAGCAGAGGACAAATACAACACAATAGACAATAGTGCATTTAGAAGATGCATGTCTGAAACACAACAGGACACACTCGTGCTGAACACAGGAATGTTGCAGGTCACACCAGAGTCACAAAATAGTTCCAGTATTTTATTTTTGATGTATAATTCAGATCATTTGTTCCATCGTTTGATTTGATCAAGCAAATGCAATATTATTTTCATCTCATGAGCCACAGACAGAAGAGATTACACAGTGAAGTCTTTTTCCACAGACCAACAACAAATAATGTTTTCTGTTGTGTCTCTTTTCATCAAACCTGGGAAGCTGTTTAATCAAACACATCCATGATCTATACACTTTATTCTTAGAGGTCAAGAGGGCGCGTTGGCTTCCAGGTTACGTTCAAGGCCAAGTTCAGAATGAGCCAGACCACCGTCTGCATGTGTTTGGACCTGGAGAAACTCCACACAGGGAGAAACTTGAAGGCGTCAGTCTGTTTTTAATGTTGATAACGTATATTAATGAATGTATATTCAATATATATACAGGATCTAAGAATATACGATGTCACAGTCATTCATTCAGTCAGAGCTCCTTCAGTTTCTGTCTCACTCACCATCTCTCTCTGTTTCCACACTGAGTGTGTTTAAAGTGACACCTATCAATGATCTCGGCTGCGTTTAGTTTCAGCTAAATGGAGACATCCATGAAGTACCGCTCTTCAAACAAGCAGCGGGGCATTAGGGAAGACACCCACTGTCTGTTTGTTTGCTGAGGATGTCCGGAGTGAGAGGAGCCAGAGCAGAATACGATGTCTATTCCTCATAAAGGCACAGCTTTATATTTGTTAAGCTTTTAACAGGCTTTTAGCATTTACTGGGACTCTGCACTCACAAAGAGGGAAACTTCCACGGGCTAAAATGGAATTTTATTTCCCAGTCCAACTCTGGAGTGTCCTCCACGCTGCCATGTTGTTCTTTAAAAAACATCATGTTGTTCTCATAAATATCAATTTAGAGATTTCCTCTTGTAGGAACCAGACAGAAAGAGGAAGGAGGATATGGATTATGTAAATACATCGTATGGGATTTATGACAGTGGATTTATTAGTCTTCATCGCAGCCACTGATGTTATGTGGAGTCACCTGAGGCAGTGGTGGGCTGGGTCATACCTGCACATGACCTGAGCAGACATGAGGAGAACAACTACTCGTTAACGTCAGTGCGGTGTGGAAGCTGCAATAGTCATGTTAGAATAAAGGACAACATGGAGGATATCATTTTGAGTTTGGTGCAATATGGCGGCGTCCGTGTCCGGGATATTTTGGCTTCATTTCTGGATCGTGGGAGGAAGTGGAGACGTGTCGTCCACCTTCATGTGAAGCAGATCCAGACAGTTAAAGACATTATTAAGAATTGACATATCCCATCATGGTATTTCATAGAAGCTGTTTCATATCAGTGGCACAAACACCACTCCGCCCCTCACTCCCTGTTAGACTAATGGCCTTGTTAACTCTTCTGCTGCAGCGTGAGATAAAAAGTCCTTGTTCTACATGAGCTGCAGCAGAAGTAGAAGAAATGAATCATATGTATACAGTCTATAAAAATGTCTGGAGTCAGAGCAGTTTGGGGAAGAGCCTGCACGAGGAGCAGTCTCATGGACACTTCCTCAAAAACACTGGAACCTGACGAACTTTACACCGCGGGACGTTTATTGTTCCACCTTTGAAACTACACGCGAGATAATATTTAACTGCACAGCCAGTGTCGCATAACTGTAGAGCCTCGGTGGAGCTGTGTTTCAGAGGGTTATTGGTTTACATCACCCACCTTTACGCAGAGAGAAAATGGTTTGTTGCTGGTTTGAAGATTCTCACATCAAGATGTTGTGTTGTGGAATGTTTTTTTTTAATTCCTGACTTTTGTGTGCTCGACCCTGAACAGGTCTCCATCGCCAAAGTACTGCTGGGAGTTTTTGGAGTAGCGGTCGTCGTCATTCTGATCGCGGTGCCCACGACTTTGTATCTGAAAGGTGAGTGTTTGCTTTTCGAATGATTCACATGTTGGCATTAAATGAATCCACCGAGGTCGCTCTGACGCACAGTAAAATGCCTCCAAGAGAATTACGCACGCGTCATTACGCACGATCCGCTTGGAGCGTTTTTGAATGGCACATCTTGA